CCGGGTCACTCCCCGGCTGTGTCCCGGCCCGGGCTGGCCCTCGGTGCTGTGCCGTGCCGGGCCCGGCCGAGGCGGTGCCGCAAGCAGCGCTGTCCCCGCGGGCCGAGCGGGCAGAGCTGTCTTGCAGCACCATCTAGTGCTGCGGGATGGGGGAGCCACCGCAGCGCCGTGGGGGACACGCCGTGCCTGTCCCGCCGTGCCTGTCCCGCCTCCTGGGCCGTGCTGCCAAGGCCGACCTGCCAGGAACGCCGGCCGGGCTGCTGGTGATGGGGATGAACAGGCGGCACAGCGTGGCTGCTGGCCCGGGGCGCACGGAACTGCCTCCCCCGTGCTCCTGCTCTGTGCCAGGGAATTTCCTGCAAGGATTCCGGGAAACATCAAGGGGCGCAGACGTTCCCGGTTCCCGAGCCAAATGTATCTGGCCTCAGCTGCCGGGTTTGCCACCTCCTCCCGTGGAAACTGGGCCCCTGCCCTCTCCTTGGAACACTTGCTTCTCTATCAGCCAGGTGGCTCCAGCTCTGTCAGCCCCTCGCCCTCAGGCCCTTCACGTCACCCCTGCGTCCCCAGCAGTTTCTTGGGGCCCATCTTCCATACCTGGTGAGAGCATGATCCCTTCCCACAACTTGCCACTGTTCCCCTTTCTCACATTCAGGGCAATGTCAGACCTTTCCAGCCCGGCTTTGGAGACACCTGGACCCCAGCACCACTGCACTGTCCTCTCATGCCCTTGCTCTGTGTCCCCTGCTTGTCTCAGCTTGTCACCCCTTCTGGGTGTCTGCCACTCTCCACACCCTGCCTGGCACTGAGGTGCAGGCAGGATTCTGGTGTAGGGGGTGGTGCAGGAAGGATTTTGGCTCAGAGCTAGATGCCATGAGAATGGAATGCTCTTCCAAAGGGACTGTGGTGATGGTTGGCCCCTCTTGGAGTACTGCTGTGGATGTCAGACCAGCACTGGGTGAGGCAGCTGCTGAGCACAGCAGGGATTGCAGCCAGGTCCTGTAGCACTGAGGGCTGGTGGGCAGAGGCTCCCTAGGGCGGGAGGAATTGCACACCTTGGACTGAAAAAAGGGTGCTTTGAATCCTGTATTTGCTCCAGCTGCCCTCCTTCTGTCCCTGGGGATAGATGGAACTGTGCTCAAGTCACCTGGCAGTGAAATCCCTGTGTCCAAGTGGTTGAGTGCCTGCTTGGGGCTCTGCCTGCTCTGATTTGGCAACCCAGAGGCGGGATCTGTGTCCCCCAGAATTGATCAGGGGGACTCAGACCTTCCTGGGCCTCCTGTCTCCTCCCAGTGCTGCTGAGCTGGGTGGCACTGGGTGAGATGCTGCTGCTGACCCCGTTGTTGCTTGTTGCCACCGCTCTGCTCACTGCCCCACGCCCTGCCCGCGCACCGGCACCTGCGGGAAGGTAAGAGTAGCAAAGCAGACACCGAACATAACGTGGCCCTGGGCTGTTTGTGCGCCTTTTGTTCGGCAGCAACTTTCATGAATCAGCTCATTAACCACATTAGGATGGGCCTTGGCTGGGCGGGGCAGATTTGGGGCAGCTCCAGCGGGAGCCCCGGTGGCTTTGCCAGGCGGGCGGGCAGCGGAGCGCTCCCGCAGCAGCCGGGTGGGTGACAGCCTGGACGGCTGCTGGATGGGCGCTGGGCGTGTGACAGCCTGGTGCTTGCTGTGGAGAGGAGGAGCTGGCCCTGTTCCCCTCACCTTCACTGCAGCACACAGGGAAGGGTCTCTCACACACCCAGTGTGGGGTCCTGCTCCACAGCCCTGCAGCCCATCGCAGGGTGGGTCCATTGCCATCAGCCGTGCTTCAGGGAGCCTTATGGTGTGATGGACCCCAAAACTATGCAGAGAGCTCCCGTGGAGCCAAAAGGGTGTTGGGCATCATCCTCCTCCCTCGCTGCCCTGCTGCTGTGCAGCAGCCCAGCTTGGAGTGCTCCCAGGCCAAGACATGGCTGGAGGGTAGTGAGGATGGAGCTTCACCCCAAATCTCTGTGTGCCAGCCCCCCAAGCTGTGCACAGCTCTCTCTGCTTCCCCATGTGCCTCTGTGGCCCCTGACTGCGTGCCAGGCCCTGTTTTTACCGCCGGGTTTCCAAGGCTGCCAGGGCGGCTCACGCCTTCCCGAGGTAGGGGACATGTGGCCACTTTGCAGCTGGCAGGGAGCAGCCTCCCGAGCAGGGAGGCACCGGTGCCTGTGGGAGTTATCGAGGCTGGAACACCCCGGAACAAGGGAACAACGGGCCGGGAAGGTCGGGCTGCTGGTGGGAGTCACCTGCAGGTGGTAGCTGCCAAACCTGGCCAGTTCCTGTCCCTGGTGCTGCTTGGCCGGCCGATGCCCAAGGCTCCCCAGGCCCTGGAGGCAGCAGCTCCAAGTGAGCCTGGGGTTTGTGAGTGGCCTGGCCTTTGGGCAAGGCCCTGCGTAGTGAGAGGCTCCTCAGGGGCCTTAGCCGGGCCCTGCCCTTGCCAGAGTTGCCTCTCTTCCGCCACAGAGCTTTTCCCTCATCCTGCACGTGGACCTGGCTGGGGGCAGCTTCGTGGCCCAGAGATGCCTGCCAAGCCTGTGAGCTTCCAGGCGGGAACTTATTTGGTAAATAAGAGGGGGAATCACTGTGTTGGTGCTTGCACTCACTTGTGACCCCCAAACTTTGCACAGAGAGTGGCATGAGGCTGTCCTCAGGTTGCAGCCAGAACTGCCACAGGGACATGGGTGGTTGGTGGCAGTGGTGACACATGCACCCCTGACCTCCTGTTCCCCACTCTCACTTTCCAGCCCCGCTTTTCCCTTCACTGGCATCTTTGCTGTCCCACGCAAGGGAGCCAAGATCTGACTGTGCCATGCTTGGGCCCTGGGCATGGGACATGCCCGTGTCTCCTGCCCCTTTTCCCAGGGTCCCAAATCCCATCAGCCCCACAGGGAAGGGAACCCGCAGCTGCCTGGGCCAAGAACGAGCTCCTGCTCTGAGCACCCGGGGCCCTTTGCCTGGGTGTTGGGTGGTGGCTGCTCCCACCCCAGTGTCACCCTGCGGTGCCTCAGGGAGGCTGAGGCGGCCCTGGCGCCTTCCGGGACCCGAGCGGGTGAGCTGCTCCCGCTATTCCGCACGGAGCCACTGGAGGGCGGCAGTGACCCACCACAGCGGGGCCCGCCGGCTCCCACCGGGCGAACCGGGCCAGGCCGGGCAGGGCGGGCGCGGAGGGAAGGGCTCCGGAGGCCCCCCCGGCCGTCTCAGGCCCCGCGTCCCTCCGGGACCCTCTCCCAGGGCTGCTCGCCCGGCGGGAGCCTCAGCGTGAGCGGCCCCGCAGGCGCCGGGGAGGTTCCGTGGTGTGGGAGCTCGCAGCTTGTCTCACAGAATGATGTGGGTGGGAAAGGACTTTTAAAGGTCACCTAGTCCAACCCCCCTGCCATGAGCAGGGACATCTTCAACCAGGTCAGGTGCTGATCCTGGGCAACCTGTTCCAGGGTTTCAGCACTCTCACCCTAAAAATTTCTTTCCTTATATCTAATCTAAATTGACCCTCCTTGAGTTTAAAGCCATCACCCCTTGTCCTATAGCTAAGGGCCCTACTAAAAAGTCTGTTCCCATCTCTTACAGGCCCCTTCAAGTACTGGAAGGCTGCAAAAATGTCTCTCTGGAGCCTTCTCCAGGCTGAACAACCACAGCTGTCTCAGCCTGTCTTCACTGGCAAGCCAACCCTTCCCTCTGATCATTTTTGTGGCCTTCTCTGGACCTCCTCCATCAGGTCCATGCCTTTCCTGTACTGACACCCCAGGGCTGGAGGCAACACTCCAGGTGGGGTCTCTCCAATACAGGGAGAGAATCATCTCCCTTGACCTGCTGGCTGTGCTGCTTTGGACACAATTGGCCATTAGAAGGAAAAGGCAGCAGGGTAGACTCAGACCCACTGAGAGCATCTGTCCCTGTGCTCTGGGTCAGTCCTTGGCTGTAGCTGAGCTTGGCAGAGGTGGTGCCTGCTCCCTGTCTCTGCTGGACACCTCCTGTGTGGGTCTAGCAGGGTGTCTGCCCTACAACACAAACACACCTGCCCTCAAGACCTTCAACTTTTTTTTTTTTTTCCTTTTGGATACCTTTGTGTCTCCTCTGGGACAGAGCTCCCACCCTCACTGGCTGTCGTTGGTGCTGGGTGCAGTTTTGGTTGGTGTCTCTGTTCGAAGGCTGGCCTGGGATGGGTCACACTGCTGACAAGACTCTGCCCTGCAGGTGCTCCAGGCTGGGATCCATCAGTGAGGTCTGGTGAGAAAATTGTTGTTGTGGCTAATGGGGATTAATGGTCCAGCTTCAAACCCCCTAAACAATGTTTACTCTGTACCCCTCCCACACACACAGTGGCTGAATCCAGGATGTGAAAAGATGCCTTTAATTTCCCTGTGGCTCTCAGGATCTCAAGCCCAGCAACAGGACAGGCTGACCAAGGCACTGAGTGATTGCACAGCTGCCTGTGATGTTCAGAGGCAGCAGCTGGAGATGTCCCTTCCCACAATGTCCACGTGCTAGAGCTGATTACAAACTGCAGGGAAAAGTGGCAGCAGGGCTGGAGAATCTGTCACAGACGTGCTGCTGTGTGTCACTGAACACACCTGGGGAGTGTTGGTGTCAGCAACTGCAGCCCCAGTGAGCTCCAGGGAGCCCAGCCCAGCACGGGAGTGATGCTGGTGGGCTCAGGGGAACGTGGGTTTTCCAGAGGGGCTTGAGTGTCCCCAGGCACTTGGAAAAGCACAGTAGTGTGCAGTGCTGCTCGAGAAAGCAGTGACAAGGGGACAACCAGCCCCAAGGGATTAACAGACACAGGGGAGGCCAAGGAGAAGCCTTGGCTAGAGAAGTCAGGACACCTTTCTGATGTAGACACTTGGAGGAAGAGCACAGAGAGGGGGGTTGTGGAAGGGGCAGAGCAGGGGAAAGCCCTGTTCTGCTGCTGGCTTGAGTGATGAGAGTTTGTGCCTGCTGAAGTACATTTTTGTAACAGAAAGGAAAACACACAAAGCTGACATTTTTTCCCTTCTTTGGACGGTAGGAATGTTTTAATTGAGAAATTTGTTTTAATTACATTAGGTGATATCACAGTCTATTTTACAAGTTTGGGGTAAGAGGATGTGTGGACCAGTTACACAGAAATCCAGCGAAAGGATAAAAATCTACAACATGAGAAAGATGAAAAGGTTAACTTAACCCCAAAATAAAAGCATTGAGAGTTCGGTGTGAGTGGAAATGGGAGATTATACCAGGGTCCAGAGAAGTAGAAAGGATGAGACTAACATAAATTTACAGTATTGGTTCTGCACGACCATCGCTTGCCTGTGTTCAGAGACAGCCTCTCTTCCTGAGGGCATCGCTAAGCAGATGGCCCCGTCTCTGAGGATTTGGTCTGGTCTTGTCAGAGAAGAAAGCAAAAGAACTGATGGGCAAAGGTCACAACCCACGCTGAGCTGGTCCCCAGGGTCACTGCCTACAGGAGTGTCTTCCACTGGATAGTCGGGGGGGTTCTGCACCAAGAACTGTATGGAGGAAAACTAAAACAGCTCCAAAAAGCCCCATCTCAAACGTAGAAAAGTCTCACTCTGGAAGTGCTTACGAGAAGATCGTCATCATAGAATTTGGTTTCTATAATAACATTACCACTGCGGGAGGAAGGAGGAGAGAGAAGAGGTGTTAGAAGGCTGCATGGACAGTGACTGCTCCTCTCCACGCTCTCACAAGCCTGGGCTCACACCCTGACCACCCCACAACCTCTTCTCTGAGCACTGTCCTGGTCAGGGTCATCAGGACTCCAAATACATTCCTGTGTGCAATGTTCCCCCATCCCTCCCCTGTCTGAGCACGGTACTGCTCAGGCTGCAGAGTGCTCGGACAGCAAACTCCTGCTCACTCCTACTGCTAAAAATAAACCAGCAGTCCCAGCACCTTTAGGTCCCTATCTCCTGCAGGAATTGTGAAAACTAATGGGAATTATTTTTTTTATTCTCCTTCTCCGTCCTCTAGTGCTGAGCAAGCTACATCAACCAATATGTCATTTCCTTTAAGAAGTGCTTAAATGCAAAGACACAAGCATATTTTATACAAACAGCAATGGAAATGTGGATTTGGATGTGACAGAAGCTCTGGGGATGTAATTTGCTGACTTCTGAAATTTTGGTACATAAAATTAGAACTGGGACCATTACAACACCTGGACACCTAAGCAGTGTGATCTGACCTTATCTAAACAACCTGGATCTTGAAAAGCAAAGCGGCAGTTCTACCTCCACTGTGGCTCTTGGTGTCTGTAACAGTGGACCTGCTAAGAGTGTAAGGTTTTGCTGTGGTGTGGACAACGCTTGAACTTAAATGTCAAGGAATGTCCTCAATCTGATACTCAGTCATCTTGGGAACTCTTCATGCAGTGCTTTGGTTAGCACCAAGTATCACACCTCCATTCTCTCCTGGTTTGGAAACACCAAGACAAACATGAGGTCTTCGGGAATATTAGAAAATGAGGAGGTCTCCAAATCTTGGCAGCTGTAAAATGATGACTTCTTTGGGCCACAAATTCCCCTTTGGATTTCTTTGGGCTGGGACATTCTACTGAAAAGCTTCAAGAATGACTTAAGGATACCTCTATAAATAGGAGAGAGGGATCTGGGCTCCCCACTGCAAGTGGACATACTTCAGGGAACAAATGGTACATTGGAAAATCCTCAAGGTCATTTGAAAACTAACTTCTCTTGACTCCCAGTCCTGAAAACGTCTCGAATTCCTGAGATGATCAAAAGCAACTTGTCAAATGTCTTTGTTTCTTTATTCTGGTTCCCAAATCTGGCTCCTCCTGTACTGGCAGTGCCCAGCTCTGGGAGCTGAGGGTGTGTGCAGCACCTCCAAGGTTCTGAGCAGGCTGTGCCAGGAGCACTATTGGAACACTGGTGCTCTCCTCCAAGCCCACTCTCTTTGAAACGTGCTGTGAATGGGAATCACTGACGGTAGCTCCCACCCCAGTGCCTTCTCTATGCGACTGGCTTTGCTCCAGACAGGGAATGAGAGGGAAAATGCTGGAGAGGGAGATCTTCCAGAGGACACAGTGACCTTGCAGTGAGACTGGCTGCTCCCTGGCTGCCTCTTGTTGGCAGCAGGGTTCCCAAACCCTTCTGTTTCTGGCAGTGCTCTCCTTGTGTGCTTGCCAGCACCCATCCAGCACTGCAGGGAGGATGGTTACCCTTCCCAGGAGCCTTTTCCATCATGCCCCAAAGCTGGAGCCTGGCTGCCCACACCGGGCAATGCTCAGCACGTGTCACTGTGACACATCTGAGGCATCACTGCCCTGCTCAGGAGCCCATGTGCACACAGAGCCAGGAGCAGACTTGTGAGGAGGCTGTGTCAATCGTCCTGCAGGTGACTGTAAAGTGACTGATTCCTTCCTGTTAAAGGTACTTTAGCCTCAAATACAACTCCATGCATAGTGCATATAAATGTGTATATATGCATATACACTAAATGTGTATAAGCCAATGTTAAAGACACAAAGCTCAGCAAAATGTTACAGTGATGAAACAAACACTAGAGCAGCTACTACAGGTGATATATTGCATGAACTGAACTACCTTGGACAAGAGTCAATGATCAATAGCTGATTTAGAAATGGCCCAAAAATCTGCTGGTTTTTGGTTTTTTTTCCCCCTGGATATAACAGGTATTAAGTTGAAAAACATTTTAAAATCCTTTCACGATTCACCTTCCAAAAAAATTAAGCAACTTTATTAAAGAATCAGTTTCACTTTCTCCAAACCTTTATTGCTATATAAATGCAAATTGGACCTATGGGAAGGAAGGTAATGAGGTTGGCTTAACCCCTTTTATCACTCAACAACAGTAGTGAGGTGATTCAGAGTTGGTAGCAGTTCCCTCTTCTCCTTCCCACCGTTGCCCCCAAGGAAATGCCATGCACTGCTTTTGCTTTGCCTGCTCTCAGACTCTGCAAGCCCAAGGCACTCACGTTAAAACGTTAGCTGGCATCATCTGTGATTCAGGTGCTGCCTCTATCAAGGACTGCCAAGTGTTTGTGGAGTTAGGAATCACAAAACCAAATTCAAAGAACCATTCTGCAAAGAAAAAAAAAAAAAAAGAAAAGAAAAAGAGATCCAGAGGCATTGAAAGAAGAAAATTCACAAATGGTCCTTTTGCTTTTTACCTGCTAGCCCGGGGAACTCCCTAAACTGTCCCGCTGGGCTGCCAACATTTTACATTTAAATTGCTTTGTACAGCTTAAACTGCACTGAGCCCTGCCCTCCTCTTAGAGCAGATACTCCCTTTTTGAAATAGCTGATGGTACAGATAAGGTCACACCACTTCCGTGGCATTTGGTGAGAATTTCAACACACCTAATTGGGAACAGGGAAACCACCCTCCTCCCCTTGCAGACATCTTGGGATCCAGCTGAGGTTAAGTGTGCAACTGGTTTCCCAAGAGCCAGGGAGCTCAGTGTTTTGTCTGCCCCTTCTCCAGCCCAGATGAAGAGCAGCACTGCAGTGAGGGGGGTCAGAGGTGCAGTTGTGGGGTCACCGGCACTGCTGTAACCCAGGTAAACCAGAGGCTCCAGCCTGGCACTCTGAGGAAGACCCAGCAATTCCAGTAACAGCTGACTCTGAAATAGCCTGTTTCCTTGCCTCAGGCAGCCTGTGGTGGATTTATGCCCTCAGGCATGATTACCCAGCTTTTTTGCTTACATAACAAAGTGTTAATACACTTATGAAATGCTATCCTTAATACTGTGGCCCATTAGTCCTGACAAGACGAGTGCTTCAGTGCTACTCTGAAAAATTAAAATCACCACATTCAACCCATTTTAGTCGCTCTAATCCCTGCCCTGCTGGGGGTCAGTCCCTGTGCTGCAGCACACAGAGCACATCCATACCTTCTAGACACTGCCCTTTGAAATAAACTTTCTGTTCCAGACGGAATTTTTCCATTTGTTCTGCTGAGGAAAAGTTTAACTCCCGAGATACTGCTTTGCATTTCAGGATTTTTTTAGGAACTCGAGCTGTGAAACAGATAAAGAAACATTATTTGAACACAATAAAATCCAGCTTCTGCAGGTACTATTATTCTATACTTGGAAATAATGATTAGGACTAATACAAGATCATAGCAGCAGGAAAAATACAAACACAAAGGACTTTGTTTTTACATTTGCAAGAGTGAAATCCAAGATGCAAATACCTTAAGTACCCTGCCCACAGCCAAGAATGATATTTATGACAGAACCAGGGATACAATACTGATCTCTCAGAACCAGACTCCTGGTTCTTAGTTGCTTGTTACTAAACCCCATATTTTTTAAAGTTGAAATATAAGATGCAACTTAAATTTTTCCTTTAAGAATTGTGCTGAAGATGACTGGCAGCCAAAGGGCTGCTTAGCACACCAAGCTCCTTAGTCCTTCTCACTTTTCCTTCCCTTTCAGACTGTGCATCCCCAGAGCAAACCACCAACGTGTGCTTCTCAGCCCAGCAGCACTTCCTCAGCCATCTCAGAGCTCTGGGAAGTGTCCTGTAGAAGTAAAAGCCTGTTCCCCTAACAGTGAGAGCTGCCCAGGCTGTAAAGCCAGAACCTCACTGGAGAGAGCAATTTGACAGTCCAGGTTTCTGGGCTCTTGCAGTAGGTGAGACACCAACAAACAGCAAGTGGCAAACTGTACCTGGTAGAGATTTCACCAGATGATTTTTCTTTTTTTTAGAGGCAGAGGAGTAAGAGAAGGGACAGTTTGGGAGCACTGATTAAGAGTCCTAATCAGGAGAATATGAGGAGGGACCAAACCAGTAAAAATCTCCCAAGCCCATCATACTTCACTGGTGTGATTGTGCATAATTCCTTCCTGCATTAGGAAAACGTTTCATGTGAATTTTTTAGAAATTAAGAGGGGAGGGAAGACAGCTGGCATGTGCTTTATGAGCCAAACTGTTCCAAAATGGAAGGCACATCACAACATCCACGAGCAGGGAGCAGGCTGGTGTTTAATAAATGCAGGAGTCTCCCAAACCTCAGGCAAATCTCTCTAATGTAGAACAATTTTATGGACTAGGACCTTGATACGACACCAGTCTCACGAGCTGGAGGCTTAGGGAATGTAAGCCAGCATCCTACCCCAAGGAGAAGTATACAGCCCACAGCTTGGTAAAAAAAAAAAATTAAAAAGAAAATTAGAAGTGTAAGGCAAGAGTTTTAAATGTAAAAGGTCTCTAATTATTTTTATGGGACTTTCTGCACCATGGAAACCTGCATGGCACCATCCTCTACTGCCCTCACCAGTACAGACTACACCATTGGGGATAAACATCCCTTTGCAGTTAAGTGTAAAATGACTCGTTAAAACTATTCTGAAATTTAGTAATTTCATTTCTTTCATCCCCAAGACAGAGTCCTGAGAATGTTTGCTTTAACAATGTAAAACTACCAAATAAATAGTTACGTTTAATAAAAGTGGGACTGCGTTGTCTTTAAACATCTGATTTAAGACATTTTAATTTACATTTATACCATCAAGCAAAAATTTTAATTGACATTATTTATTTTAAGCTCATTTTACTTTTATTTCTCTCTTTTTTCTATTAAAAATAGAAAAGAAAGGAGATTGATTCTAATTTTGAAACATGCTGGGATGCAGATAAGCATAGACTTAATCCTAAATTTACTAGTGCTTTTTGTTAAATTGAGGATGTACTATACCTGCACATTTATTTAAGCACTTCCATGGTTAACATACATTTAGTCAGATGCTTAATGCTGATTAGATTAGAAAGTGTTGAATGACACATATCTTATTTACTCACAAGTAATTTTGGGTCCAACCATTTAGTTAGAAACTGAAATTCAATTAAAATACTCATATAATTATGTTTTCATTTAATTTAAATAAAGCTACCTTAAATATTTGGGACATTGAAGAAAGCAAGTTGTCTTTCTTAGCCAAACTGATTTTACATTTTAAACTACACCTTTGCTTAGATAATGAAAGGACTATTTGTATGTCTTGGATGAAAGCTGGCTGTGGGGATTCTGTAAGAGCTGCACCTCAGCAGCTTACCCCAAGATTTGCTTGTGTATTGGAAGAAACCAAACTTCACAGATTTGCATCTTCCAAATTGCCTCCCAGTTTCAAATGCCCTGTCACTGAATAGAGCTGACTGGAAAAGCTCCTGCTTGTCAAATGCTGGTTTAGATGATTAATTCTAGTTTCAGGTGCTCAGGCTGTGATTTTTACTACTTAAGGCAGTTTAATGCTAAGACTTTGGCAGCAATCCAATACCACATTAATATTGTTTTTATTTCATCTAAGTGGTAATAGTAAATTAAGGTAGTAATACAGTATCATGATTTGAAACTTAAGAGTTCATTTTATAAAGAAACTTGTACTTAAATAAAATAGAAGTCATGTTTAAAAAGCAAATAGAAGTCCTGTTTAAAGAAAATGTATTTTATTCACTCTGATATATATGTGGTTTTTGTTTGCTATGTCTAGACTGTGATTTGCCCTGAAAGGCCACAGAACACACACACACAAGTACTCTATCATGACTTTAAGACACATATGGATTTAATTTTAGAACAATTACTCTGTTTCTCCTCCCTGCTTCTGCTGCAGGACTGTAGCAGAACTGCATTTTCCCACACCTTTTAATTCACCATCAGATTACCCTGCTTTGTTGGATGTCTCCCTCCCTTCTCAGCCTATTTATTAAACATAACCCATCTACCTCAGGTTTCTTTTCTAGCTAAGACATACAAGAACTATTTTTTTTGTCTCTGCTCCCAAGGAAGACCATCCTCTCATCTGTAATCTTTTCAGTGGCTTCTCCTAATAGCTCTCCTCTGCATCTGCCACAGTTTGCAGTCATCCATCTTCTAGATGGATGAGTGAACTGTGCATCAGATGAGATCTTAACTATTCCTTGTACAATGGGCATTAATCTCAGGCCAGAGTATGTTTTAATTAATTCCCCAAGTTCCTCTGATGGAGATGACAGTTCCTGTTTTATTTGCAATGAAAATCTGAGGCACAGTGAGGTGATATGATTTGCCCAAGTGACAAAGGTGACATCTGTCCTTCAAAGCAGGGGTATGTTTACAATTCAGGTGACCCAGACATGCAGCACCACCCAGCCCCAAATGCACAATGCAGTCACACAGTACCTTCATGCTCCACTCCAGGTACAGACAGATCTTCTGTTCCTTGCCAGAGGATTTTCCCTGTTTCTGCATCCCGAAGGTTCATCCAGTTTCTGATTGGGAAGCAAATAAGGAAAACAAGCTATCTATATCCCTAAATGCTGTGTGTAGTATTCTTTGCTGAGTTCTGAAACAGGCTACTCCAGCTGAGTTTCAGTAATGGTTTCTGGTTCTCAGCAGGCCAAGGAAAAGAGATGCTTTTTCCCTGAGAATAAATAAACAAACCAACCGCTGACCTGAAGGAATGCAACAAGAGTTATATAGCCACAGATTTAGTTTTCACTTTAGATTGGAGCCTGTTAACCTCATTTACCATTTCCACTGCTTCTAAAGGATAAAGACAGTGTCACTGTGCTGTGGAGAAGCAAGAGCATTGCTAACAACAACAGATTGTTACACAAACAATTGCTCTTCTCCAGCATTTGAAAATCGCTAGGAAAAGGAGTCCTTTCTACATAACATGAGAAAAGAGTAACATCCAATCCAGCTTCTTTTCTTAGCTTACAAAATATTAATATCAAGGGTTGTTCTCTTGCTGTTGACCTCATAACTGCCACTCATGGGAATTCTTCAGCTGCTGAGTGCTAAGCAAAGAGAGATCTTCTCTTTTCACTCTCAGCAAGTGAGGCTGTGCCAGCTTCCAAAACGCCCTGATATTCATATTTCCAAAGGGACAGTTAATAATGATCTTAAGCACACCTTGCAAAAGCTCTCTCACAGGGTAACTCAGACAGCTCAGAACAAGGAGCCTGCACACCTGCATGATGCCATCCTGAACACAGCCATCCGGAAGCCTCAGGCTCTCCTGCTCTGCAGCTCCTCAGGGTGGCTCTGAGGATTCAGCAGTGTCAACACCAGAGACTGCACAGAGCAGGGTCTGTGGGATGAGCCCACACAAAGCAGAGCCTTTCCAGGAGCTCCCCCTTAAGCACACCATTAGTAGTCACTACTGCCTACAACAACTGCTCAAGGGACTGGCTGGGGAGGTGGAGACAGAAGAGGGACAATATGGACCTCGACACGGGTATAAATAGGAGCTGTTGGAGATTTGCATATTGAACTCATCCTTTAACACGCACAGTTTCCAGGCAGACTCACACAAACTCATCACACTGATCCCATTTTTCCAGAGCTCCAAGGAAGAAACAGATGCTTTAGCAAATTTTGCATCACAGACGAACATTTGTTTTAAAATTATGTGTGTGGAGGAGGGGAAGGGAAGATGGCTGCCTCAGCAGAGATGTGAGGATTCTTTCCCTTGGGGAAGGCTGGTCAGACTTTCCATGCCCCACTGAAAACACAAAGAGAATGTGTGCACAGGGTCTGTTCACATAAAACTTAGCAACAACTTAGAGAATGGAAAGAGGGAACACAGGGCAGCCTGCTCATGTCCTTCTAGGCTTGTTCCAAACACACTGTATCTACCACTTGTTCTGGGATTAAGGCAAAAGAGAGAGAAGATGAAAAGCATCCTCTGAGGGCGAGGGTTCTGTTTGGCACCTACATCCTAGCAGGAAGCTGCAAAGTGGAGCTCTCTCCCCAGCCAGCAACCCAAGGCAGACAGGGGCTGGCAGGGAAGTCAGAGAGAGAAAATGAACAGCAGAATGGCAAGAAGAACCTGCAGCAGGGCTGGGCATTGCATGTGGTGCTGGCTGAAAAACTCCAAGTCCTCAGCCAACACAACCTGCAGGATGGAACTGCCCAAACAGTAATTTAAAATGCCAAAAAATCCACCATTTTTCCATACATCTCCCCACACACACACATACAAATTAGCCAGGGTGAAGCTATTTGCATAGAAAGCAGTGTGCCATCCATCAAGTGCCATGTACGAGGGGAAAATAACAAATGAGACAATCTGAGCATCTCACTGACAAACTCATTTATCTTCCCAACACTCTGCCACACAAACACTCTTAACTATCAGCTGAACAGTAATTTAGTAAATTGGGCACTTGATTATCAAAAACCTGTACTACCTTTAAAAAATGGTCCTCTCACAAGTATTTATTTACTGTTTGCTCACTATCAATATCAGTCAGAGTTATGAGCTCCCAGGTTTGGCCACAGGCTGTGTAGTGCCAAACTGAGCACTAGCTGAGTTCCTCTAAACTGGAAATGAAACTCTGACCAGTACAGCAAACCCAGCACTGTAAAGGAACTGATCCAGCCTCTCAGCTGCTCTATCTAATGTACTCTGACTAACGGACCATTTTTCCTTGCCATGACTTGCCTTCCCATCCCTCTTCCCTTGTCAATTTTTGGAGCACTCTAAAATCACATTCACCAGTTTCAAAAGTATTATATTAGAAGTGTCCTTCAGTGAGAAGTAGCCTGACAGCTTAATTATTATCCTTACTTGAAATACACAGTAATAGTGTTAGTAACCTACTAGTCCTGGTGAGAGAAAACACTACTGTACACTCCTGACCTCTGTAACTTCTCCCTATCAGGATTTCTCTCAGTCCAGTCCAAGAAAGGTGATCCAAGTTATGCTGCTGTGCTGAACAATGTTACCACTTAAAATGTATGTTAACATTTGGGGTGTTGGACATCTATAAAGTGCTATCTGGCTTTATTTTGTTTATGGATGTTCCACTGTGAAAGTAAATCCATGCAGGACAGCCTGCCCCATGCTTTGTATTATGACTGTCAAATTCAAGATGCAGAATAAATAAAAAGCTCAAGGCTCTAACCCTGCTGATGAGACCATGCCTCATGCATGCAGCAATGCATGCCACAGTTCCCAGAAAATATCTTGTATTTAAACAATCTGAACATTGCTAGCCTGTGTAAATTCCTTATCAAATAAATAAAGGTTTTGTGTCAGTGTAGTCAAAGGCTTTCTGACCTTGACAAGTCCATGTTCAGGGCATGCTCTTCTACCTTCTGGAAATGAAAAAACAAAATCAACCTGCTAATCAGAGTGTATACAAAGAGTAGAAATTTGTGGACCCAGACATATTTGAAGCGTTCAGAATACACTAGCCAGTTCACAAGTTTTTTTCCCAGTAACTAAACATTATTAAAAGGGAAGAACAAATCATCAGATCTTAAAAGCACAGACACACACAATCTCTTTCTATTGGAAAAAACACTTCAGGTACAAGAGGTTAATTATTTTTTAAAAATAAATGTTTAAAAAGAAACCGGCATCTGAAAAAAGTTTTAGTCAAAACTGAGATAATGTATAAGACTTTAATGGAATTAAAAAAAAAAAAAGAAAAGAAAAAAAGAGGCAAACCCCATCACAAGTGATTTCTTGACATGGGAATACCTGACAAAGCAGCAGCTGTACTGCTTACCTAGTTAGCAGCTTATCAAGACTATTTCTGTCATCTTGGATAGGAAGGCTGGTAATACAACATACCCCAGAGTGAAGAAAATGGAGATCTTGAACGAAACCCACACACACTATTATCTTCTAATGTGTTTAATTGGTTTAAGATTCTTCCACCCCAGCATGAGAGATATTGTTACTAAAAATAAAGAGTGCTCCACCTCCTGAGCAGCAGTGGAGACCTGCAGGCAGAATGATGAGGGCATTTTAAGCATTATTGAAAAGGAGAAAGCAAATTCATATTGGTCTGATACAATTACTCTTTTTGAAGAGGTTCATGTAAAGCCATTTAATAGGGGTAGCTCAGAGCAAGTAGGAAGCCAGGCAGCTCCAGCTGGGTGAAGTTTGTATATGTGGGGGAAGGCAGGAGAAAGGAAAAACATTAGTGTATTCCTAATTCAGTTTCTCACTTACACCATTAAATTTTCATTCATTTGTATTTTGGGGGCTTGGGGTGGGGTTTTTTTTGGAAATGATGTCTGATTTAAGACTCAATAGATCAAATACTCTTCAATCCTGAAGGCAAGGAAGGATTAGGTAGAACAGCAGAAGGAAGGGTGTATGTTGATCTATTTATATTCCACCACCTATTGGGTCAGCAAAGTCTTACATAAAAGCTTTGTAGTAGCTGGAACTTGACTAGCTTTATATACATTACATGAATTAGCTCTCTCACAGACCTATTTTGCTTAGCCTGATGAAGGGAAATGGTTTGTGCATTTCTAAATTCAAATTTTGCTTTCTTTAATACCTCTGATGTCAGGAGTTCTTTCTTTTTTGTATCTGTCACAGAGATCACTTGGTTCAAACAAATCAGAATGTACATCCTTTATCTTTCAGTGTATTAGCATTGCAAAAGATTGCCTTGTATTACCACACTTGTAATTACGAGTAGCCTTGAGGAAGAGAATGAGTACAAACAAAATTTATCATTAAAGTAGTATGGAATTAAAAGAAGTTCTGCCTCCATCTCCCTGACTATTATGTGCCTGTTGTAATCTTTAGCACTTCTGGAATATCTCAAAGGCAGTGGCAAACAGCAGGTATCATTTCTCTTCTTAAAGTGATCCATTTTTCATTTTATTCCTTGCTGTCTATGTCTACACCATTCTAAAACCTCAGGAACTGCTGTATCTTACATTTCATAATAAAAACAAGGCTAATGTTCATAACCACTCCTAGAAGGAAGGTCTTTCATCATCCCTGCCAGCTTTATTTTTTTTAACACATGAAATGCAACATTAAAAACAGTTCACTACCTGCCAGGTGCAAACAACATCTCAACAATAACATGTTAATGAGACCTGTCCTCTGGGATAAGGTGGAGCTGAAAGTTCTGAGCAATTCAGACAACAGTCTCTGTCGCAGACCCAAAAAAAGCTTCTGATCAGGACCCACCAACCTTTGCTCCTGATTTTACATGGTCTGTTGTGAAAAGCAGACACAAGCAGGCAGTGATGGCATAGGAAAGCATGTTAACTTACAGGGAAATGAATAGCAAACTTTAGGGATTATATTTATATTTATATCAGACATATTTTCCCAGAAGTATATTTTCATCTCGGTTGTTTCAATCCAGTCTGAGGAATAAGGACCAACATAAATTATGCAAAGTAAATACCAAACTACAGGACTACAAAGCAGACCACCTAAATGGCCTCACACTTCTCCTCCACTCATGCCATTCATGCTGTAACCTTATGCCATCTCTAC